TTCTACCCCGATATACTTGAAGGCCGCGCAGAAATCCAGGAAGTTCAGCTCCCGAAATTGACAGGCGGTAGGCTTGCCGCCCTCTACGGGGACGTCCACCTCTTGCTCGCTGAATGCTGTCTGCATCTCCCGATACCAGCGCTGTGCCACTGGCATGTGTCCGTCACGATCGACCTTGGTGCGGCGGTAGCTGTCGGGCCGTTGCAGGCAGCGCTCTCGTCGTATTGTGGCACCGACAGGGTCCACGTCTCGGGAGGTCCCACCTGGATCCACTCGTTGTCTCGCGAAAACTGGACGACGGGGAAGCCCAGCAGCAGGTGGCACGCCTCAAAAGTGGAAGTGGTTCTGCCTTGCAATGCTGCGTGCGCCGCCTTGTAGATCTGCTGGTTGCTGAGGCTCGCGTCCGCCACGCTACTGGAGGTGAGCCTGGCAACAATGCTCTCCACGCGCCGCTGCGCCTCCAGGTCCTGCTCCGATTTCAAGGCATAGCCCAGAATGTAGCGGCTGGCGCTGGTCAGCTCGCAGATCACCTGCAGGTCCATGCTGGCCCGCCACCGCCGAAGGATCTTGATGTTGTACTGGCCCATGCCTTTGTCGCACTCTGCTCGCCTTGTGGCGAGGCTGCTCTTCCAACGGCTGTTGGCATACTTTTCTTGGGGGCTGCGGCGCCGCGTGCGCGGTTCGGGATTGTGCGGAAAGCCGAAGCGGCAGGCACCGTGAGTCTTGATGCCGCAATATTCGGTGTGCTTGTGCACCAATAATTCGGCCAGCTGTGCATTGAGCTCCTTGTCGCGACCCGAGACTTTCGTGGATCGGCGCCAGCTGAGCGGACCCTTGGTGGTGATGTACTTGTCGCTCCACTCCTCTGCGCAGGTGGGAACGAAATGTTTCATCGCTTCATCATCCGACCAATCTGGGACTTGCGCCTCTGCTTCTGTTCCCTCGCCTCCGGGAGCCGCCTTCATCTTGTCGCCGGGCTTCTGCTTAGTCTTGCTCTCCCACTCCACCACCCAGAGAAGGATGTGAGCATGCGGGTAACCTCTCTTCTGCCATTCGATGCGGATGAGGTAGTCCACGACTCGGAACGGCGGGTCTTCCTTACGGACCCCACGATGCTGGCCTGCAGAGTCGGCAGCTGGCGCCTGGATGAAGTCTTCCTCGAGCGCGCCTTCTGGCTCATCCTGAGCATCTGCACCCTCGTCCATGCGGCTGCTTGCGCCATGCTCGGTGGAAAGCCAATGCATGAGCTGGGTCAGCTGGTGCATGAACTGTCGTGCCACGATAGCGGGGTACTGATTGCAGAGCTGGTTCGGCGACAGGCCGTCCCATTTGAACTTCTTGTCTGCTTGGTAACACTGCAGGATGTGCGCCGCTTCGCGCTCGAGCTCTTGGGACTGACTCTCGGGGCGCAGCCGCAGCAGCCGCGCCATGATGACTGCGATCAGGATGTCAGGCTGTCGGGCGTGGCAGGAGAGCGTCATGAAGAACTTGGGCGTGCCCAGTTGCTCGTACATGTTCAGCGCCACGCCCTACTTGGCAAAAACGTACGAGCTCGTCCCCGGGATGTCCCTCAGGGCCGTGAAGACTTGACCTCTGCCTTCTTGGTACTTGCTCTTCCCGTTTGGACGCTGGCCGCCGATCCTCACGTTGATGTTGCCCGAGAGGCGCTTCTTGATGTGCATTTCCAGAAGCCACATGATATAGGCCGGCGATGCCTCGAAGCGCGGATCCAGACCCAGGAGGCGTTTGCGCGCGTACTGCGACATGCTCCCATAGGCATTCTGCCATCCACATGTGCCGGCAGGAAACAAATGCGGGAAGAATTTCACGTCCATGTCATCGCTGAGCGCTGCAATGCTGCGGGCCTTCTGCAAATCCGCTTTGTGCGGTCTGGGCGCATGCAATTCTTTAGGAATGAGGTACGTCATCTCCAGCGTGCCTTCTTGCTCCGGCGCTTCCGTCTCCTCATCTGGTGTCTGCGCACTGCCTCCCAAGGCCGAGGAGTGTGAGCCACCGAACTCCTCCGTTTGGCGCCCTTGGGAGGTCACGTGGTTTGCGAGCGCTGTTGCGCTGCCTGGCCGCGTCCCGGCCAGGATCGCTTCCATTCTTGCCAGGGCTCCATCCACCGCCGGATTTCCCTTGTACAGGCGGTGCTGGGCTTTCAGCTCCCGCAGCGCTTTGTGTAGGCAGTCCAGACGAGCTGGGGAAGCCATCTGTCCTTGCACTCCCTCCACCAGGACGGTGCCGTCTTCCTCGAGCGTGGCTCCCTCCAGGACGTCGCAAATGAAAGGGTCGTCCACCAGCACCGCGTACATTCGGCCCCACTGGGCACTTGGGCCGCCAGCAGGGAGATTGTCCAGCAAGACTTGGGAGATCCGGGCCATGGCGATGAGGTGCTGCTCGATGGGCTGGAGTTGTTGCAGCGCTTCGGGGACGGGCGGCGGGACCGGCAACAGGAACTTGGTGTTCTTCTCGCGGCAGTTCCTGCAAAGCATCTGTCCTGAGGGTCCGCTCTTCCTGCAATGTTTTGCTGGGGCGAGCGTGCTACAAGCTGCACAAAGTCTGGACAAGCCAAACCTTCCCCAGCTGCGAGTGAAGGCCAGGTACCGCTCTTGTACTTGTTCCGGACTCAAGGTCTCCTCGTCCGGGAACGGGTAGCCTCGTTGCTCCGCCTCGGTGGCGATGGGTCTTGGTCCCCGTCCGCCCAGTCCCTCCTCGGCCCGCTCGGCCTGCAGTTCTTGCCTTTGCGCACGTGTGCTTCCTGCAACCGGTAGAGGCCCGCGGCTGCCTGCTCCCTCCTCGGCCCGCTCGGCCTGCAGTTCTTGCCTTTGTGCCCGTGTGCTTCCTGCAACCGGTAGAGGCCCGCGGCTGCCTGCTCCCTCCTCGGCCCGCTCGGCCTGCAGTTCTTGCCTTTGTGCACGTGTGCTTCCTGCAACCGGTAGAGGCCCGCGGCTGCCTGCTCCCTCCTCGGCCCGCTCGGCCTGCGAATCGCGCCTCTGGGCCCGCGCACTGTCTTCTTCTCCCGGGCGACCGCCACGGCCGGGCGTCGGGCCACGGCTGCCTGCTCCCTGTGCTGCACGTTGCTGCTGTCGATCACTCTTCTCCTCGCTCTTCCGGCGGAGGTTCTCCTCTTTCTCGGCTTGGCGGCACTGCAGATTGCTGCACCATCCTTGTCCTCGGCCCCTTCGTGGCCAGCCGCACCGGTGACAAGGCGCCATCGTAACGAATTGCGAATTTGCGGTTCCTAAACTCAGCTAGGTTGTATCCGCACGGCTGCGATCAAGTATCACAGTATCAGGCATGTCAGTGGTCGTTTGTTCGCTCTCTGCCGGGCAAACCAATCTGCGTAATCACGACTACCTTCATACACCGAATCTTTGTCTGTAGTCTACAATCTATCTGACATGCAACGACACTGCGGCACTAGCCCCATTTTTCGTTTGCTGCTGCTCACACTCGGAGCTGTAACGGTCTGTGGCGTGTCACATAGAGAACCTCCATGTCCACGACGTCATTGCCGAAGCTGCGATCCAGGAACTCATGCGTCCCTCGATGCGTAGACGACCTGCACCTCCAGGACCTCGCCGTTGAAGCTGCGGTCCAGGAGTTCATGCCAGCTCCAGACGTCTGCGATCACATCTCCCTTCAACACGAGTTTTGTGGCTTCGAGGGGAATGGGTCCTGCAGGACTGCTGTCCAAGTCGTGCAGCAGGACTTCTCTGGCGCTGCGATACTGCAGCGTCTCTGCCGGGATTGGCTTCTTGGTCTCCTGTCGTCTGACACGTAGCTCTTGCAGGGATAGCCAGCGATCGGGGTTGTTGCCCTCGTGCAACTGAGCGAGCCAAGCTTCTCGGAAAGATCCGGGTGGTTCGAGTTGGCAGAGCGGGCGGTAAGGCTTCGAAGAATGGACTTCGGCACCTTGCAAGTTCAGGTACCGCACCGTCAAGTTGGCAAGACGCTCGTTGAACTCTTTCTGCCTCTCCACTTCTCTGTCCCACTGTATTCCCTCACGTGCATCTTCTTCGGCTTCGCGCTGCATCTCTGTTTCGACCCAGTCCCAATCATCGAACCCGTCCTCACAGTCCGCCTGGTCGGCGTCGTGGATCGAGTGGTCTGTGCTCTGGAAGTCTTCGTCCATGACGTCGGACATCATTGTCGCACCAGTCGACCTGAGAAGCACGGGGCTGCGGCAAAGCTGACCGTCTGTGACGACAATGGTGAAGGCTTCCATATCTGAGGCTCGCACCGGACCACGGGCGAGTGATATCTGTTGAAGCTAGATAGCAGTTTGAGACTCAGTATGCTGTGGCGGCGGCCTTGAAGGATGTGCTGTCACAGGATGCTGCGCTGTGCACTTTCACAAGGCAACCTGCTAGCAACGATTCTGAATTCAAGAACTGCTAGACATGCATGTCCGTTTTGGCTTTCTGCCAGAAACTGTCAAGACTAACAAAGTGAATCCAGGAGCCTCCTATCCTCGGAAACTCGCTGGCTGGGTGAGACCATCCCATATTAGTGGCAGCTGCACCTCTCGACCCCCATTCAGGTTGAGGATAAGGGTGGCGGCTGCGCCCTCGACCTCCGATTCAGGGTAAGCGCCCAACCCCCATTCAGGTTGAGGATAAGCGTGGCAGCTGCATCTCCCGACGCCCATTCAGGTTGAGGAGCACCTCCCGACCCCCATTCAGGTCGAGGATAAGCGTGGCGGCTGCGCTTCCCGACCTCCGATTCAGGGTAAGTGCCCAACCCCCATTCAGGTTGAGGATAAGCGTGGCAGCTGCACCTCCCGCCGCCCATTCAGGTTGAGGATAAGCGTGGCGGCTGCACCTCCCGACCCCCATTCATGTTGAGGATAAGCGTGGCGGCTGCGCTTCCCGACCCGCATTCAAGCATGGCAGTTGCACCTCTCGACCTCCATTCAGGTTGGTCTTCTCAGGTTGACACCACGCACCGGGGACCCCATATTGGCTGAGGATAACACACATGATCACACATGCGACCCCATGTTGGTTGAGGATATGCGCTCCGGCCTTGTCCCCGCCTCTGTCTTCTTCAGGTTGAGACCAGGCACCTGGGACCCCATATTGGTTGAGGATAGGCGTTCCGGGCTTGTCCCCGCCTCCGTCTTCTTCAGGTTGACACCACGCACCGGGGACCCATATTGGTTGAGGATAACGCACCTGGGACCCCATATTGGTTGAGGATAAGCGCTCCGGCCTTGTCCCCGCCTCCGTCTTCTTCAGGTTGACACCGCGCACCTGGGACCCAATATTGGTTGAGGATAAGCGCTCCACCGGCAACCCCATATTAATTGTGGATAACGCACCTGGGACCCCACATTGGTTGAGGATAAGCGCTCCGACCTCGTCCCCGCCTTGGTCTCTTGCAATGGAGACCACGCACTTGGGACCCCGTATTGGTTGAGGATAAGCACTTCGGCCTTGTCCCCTCCATCCTTTTCGAGTTGATACCACGGACCTGGGACCCCTCTTAGTTGAGGATAAGTGCTCCGACCTTGTCCCGGCCTCCGTCCTCTTCGAGTGGAGACCACGCACCTGGGACCCCATATTGGTTGAGGTTAAGCGCTCCGGCCTCGTCCCCGCCTCGGTCTTCTTGGAGTGGAGACCAGGCACCTGGGACCCCATATTGGTTGAGGATGCTCGCCCCGGCCTGGTCCCCGCCTCCATCCTTTTTTCGAGTTCAGACCACGCACCTATATATTAGTTGAGGATAAGCCGATCTTCTTGGAGAGACCACGCACCTCTGGTTGAGGATAAGCGTGGCGGCTGCGCCTCTTCCCCCTGGCCCCCATTCTGGTTGAGGATAAGCGTGGCGGCTGCACCTCTTCGCCTGGCACCGGAGGACTGGGACCCCATATTGGTTGAGGCTAAGCCCTCCGTCCTCGTCCCTGGCTTGCGTTCCTCAGGTCGAGACCTCACACCTCGGACCTCACATTGGTTGAGGATAAGCGCTCCGGCCTCGTCCCCGCCTCCGCTTTCCCTGAAACCCCATATTGGTTGAGGACAAGCACTCCGGCCTTGTCCGTGCCTTCGCCGTCTACTCAGCTTAAAACCGTGCACCTGAAACCCCATCTTGGTTGACGATAAGCGCTCCGGCCTCGTCCCCGCCTTCGCCTTCTCACGCACCCAAGACCCCATGTGGGTCGAGTATGAGCCCTCCAGCCTCGTCCCGGCCTGGGACCCCATATTGGTTGAGGATAAACCCTCCGTCCTCGTCCCTGGCTTGCGTTCCTCAGGTTAAGACCGCACACCTCGGACCTCACATTGGTTGAGGATAAGCGCTCCGGCCTCGTCCCTGCCTCCACTTTCCCTGAAACCCCATATTGGTTGAGGACAAGCACTCCGGCCTTGTCCGTGCCTTCGCCGTCTACTCAGCTTAAAACCGTGCACCTGAACCCCCATCTTGGTTGAGGATAAGCGCTCCGGCCTCGTCCCCGCCTTCGCCGTCTTCTCAGCTTCAGACCACGCACCTGAAACCCCATCTTGGTTGAGGATAAGGGCTCCGGCCTCGTCCCCGCCTCCGCTTTCCCTGAAACCCCATATTGGTTGAGGACAAGCACTCCGGCCTCGTCCGTGCCTTCGCCGTCTACTCAGCTTAAAACCGTGCACCTGAGACCCCATCTTGGTTGAGGATAAGCGCTCCGGCCTCGTCCCTGCCTCCGCTTTCCCTGAAACCCCATATTGGTTGAGGACAAGCACTCCGGCCTCGTCCGTGCCTTCGCCGTCTTCTCAGCTTAAAACCGTGCACCTGAAACCCCATCTTGGTTGAGGATAAGCGCTCCGGCCTCGTCCCCGCCTTCGCCTTCCTCGGCTTGAGACCATGCACCCGAGACATAAGCGCTCCGGCTTCGTCCCCGCCTGTGCCGTCTTCTCAGCTTCAGACCAAGCACCTGAAACCCCATCTTGGTTGAGGATAAGCGCTCTGGCTTCGTCCCCGCCTCCGCCTTCCCTGAAACCCCATATTGGTTGAGGACAAGTGCTCCGGCCTCGTCCCCGCCTCCGCCGTCTTCCTCGGCTTGAGACCATGCACCCGAGACTTAAGCGCTCCGGCTTCGTCCCCGCCTGTGCCGTCTTCTCAGCTTCAGACCAATTACCTGAAACCCCATCTTGGTTGAGGATAAGCGCTCTGGCTTCGTCCCCGCCTCCGCCTTCCCTGAAACCCCATATTGGTTGAGGACAAGTGCTCCGGCCTTGTCCCCGCCTCCGCCGTCTTCTCCGCTTAAAACCGTGTACCTGACAACCCATCTTGGTTGAGGATAAGCGCTCCGGCCTCGTCCCTACCTCCGCCGTCTTCTCAGCTTCAGACCAAGCACCTGAAACCCCATCTAGGTTGAGGATAAGCGCTCCGGCTTCGTCCCCGCCTCCGCCGTCTTCTCAGTTTCAGACCAAGCACCTAAAACCCCATCTTGGTTGA